GTTTAAGTACAGTTTAGTGTAAAAAAGTGATTTTTGAAAAATCAGTGACATACGCACCTCTGTCAGATGACAGGTGAGATGTGCAAGAGACTTGTAATTTTCTGGGTGGCTTTTGGTTCATTCCTAGAGATCGAAGCGCCTACACTGTCTCTCAAAAGGCGATGTAAGTACTACTTTGAAGGCGGTGAACCAGGATTGGCGATAAGACAAAACTACCGTCTCCAGGAAGGCAATGTGAATAAGTTATTGCCATGGTATTGGAAATGAAGTCCATCGCCAAAAACTTTGGCAGGGTCGCAAAATATTTTTTTCTCCAAGTTTCTTTTATGGGCTTTTAAGGGGTAACTCGTGAAAGCAGATTGCTGTGAGCGAAAATTTCGTCCGTTTTGCTCTATCTCCTACCGTTTGGGTGCTAGGAGGCATGTCCTGACAAAAATAAGGTGAAAATTACCAAATGGTCTTTTAAATCGAAAAAAAGGCTTTGTATCGATAAATTGTATATACACTCTTATTAACTCGTTTCGGGTGTCAGCGCCCCAGGCCTAGCTATATGTGCGCAAGGCGCGTCTTGAAAGGAATGTTATTTCAAAGTGGCCTTCCTGTGGTCTTCACCTTTGTCTCCAGGCGCTCCTTGAACACGTGGCAAAGCGATGCAGGCGATTACATCGGGTGTACACCGCCTACTCCGTCATGGTATGCCAGACGGTTCTTTTCCCCACGCTCACAACGGGCAACTTAAGCCTACCCGTGTGGCCCAAACCGCAATCATTTCCTCAGCCGCGCGTCGCTATGGCCGTGATGATCGCCTTCCAGGTAGGTGTTAGTATACTAGCAGATCTGCTGGTGGGGTGTTAAACTTCATTAAAACGTGTGCTCGCATAGAGAACAGCTTCACGTTTGGTGTTTTAGAAAAAGCTCGTTTCTGGTAAGCTTCGTGAAGTGGATTTTCAGCTTGCTCTTCTAATTTGAATCAGCAGGCTCATGCCATCGCCCCTGTCTGTTTTCCAGAAAGGATGTGAGATAGAGGTCTGAAGTCTTTAGGGTCTCATTGATGTTTCACCTAGGCAACGATACGGTTGCTGCAAATCCTGGCAACGACTAAGGGGTGTGTGTTATTTGTCCCACCACCCTAAAAATAGAGCTTTTCCATTGTTTTCTTTTTTTGTGTGTTTTTTGTCCCACCTGTCAATTGTCCCATCTGTTATTTGTCCCACTGCTCCCCCAAGAGCAGGTAAAGAGTATTCAATGTTTTCGGGTATGTTTTCTGTCCCACTTATATTTTGGGCCGCCTACTTGAAATTTAAGAAGGATAAACAATTTCAAACCAGAGGATACTACATTGCTATCATTAATAGACCATGGTTCGATCTTGGTCTTTCTGCACTACATAAAGCGCAACTAACATCATATGCTTTTGCCTAACATTTGGCTCCATTTTATCAACGCTCATAAATATTGGCGAAGCTTTAGTATTAGATGTTTTACTTACAGAAAATGCATCAAGATTGAAGTTGTAGGTGAAATCAAATTCTGTTAGATTACATTAAACTCTTAGTTTCTTGTACGCTTCTCCATCAAAGATGTCTTCCACATTATCATCATCAATTTTGGTCTGGTTTTCATAATACGAAAAAAGATCTGATATAGCAGGGTTGTCAAGAAACTGCTTAAGCAGAGATTTAAAGTTAAGCGTGACAAAAAAACTTATTTTCCTCTTTGCATTTTCAGGGCACGTATTGCATGCAAATGTGGACAGAAGATTTTCCCTGTTAAAATACTCTAGACTGGAAAAAAAAAAACTTCTTCTCTGATTTCACAGTTGCTCTTCTGTCTGCAGTGCACTCAAACTGTTTTTAGTACATGGCAAAACACTGTTTGTGAGTAGCATATTAACGGTATTTGACACTTTCAAAGTAGAATCATAGTCCCAATTGTGCCTTATGGAAATGGCGAGAACCATCGCAACCAACTCCCGAACAGTATGGCCCTGGGAAAATGTTGATATTTTGTTCACAATGGGATTGCCCCACGACATGAATCCATGACCGAGGGGATAATCACTCCGTGAAAATGCGTACACCTCAACTTTTCACTTTTCCACTTTTATTCACTTTTTCACCGTTTAACAACGTTTACTTCATTTCTATGCCTATATCCACCCTTTTTTTTTTCATTTTTGATCTGATCAACGCACGGTTAGTCACTTTTGTCCACATTTTCTTTCAGTTTTCATCACTTTCCGTCAACTTTTTTGTCACTTTCACTTTAACTTTTATAGAAATGTGTACACCTGCTTTCTGTAGTGATTACCCCCTCATCCATGACCCTCTGATTCCTCACTCCGAGGGAGCCACAACTTCGGTTTAGGGTGTACACAAGATTACGGAATTACAGGGATTACACATGAATTTTGAGGGATTACACATGAATTTTGTTGAATGTCTGGCTCTAAAACCATTCCATTTAGACTGTCAGGCAAAATCTAGTGATAATGGTTTAAAATTTGGTCAAGTATTACACAAGGATTACAAGTGGTGGCCCGCTCGCCTCTCTCTCATCGTTGCTGTCCACATTGCTGCTTCTTTCTACTGCATCACTTTAAACTTGAAAAATTAAAACAAAGATTAAATTGCTTTTTCAATCTTATATAGGAAAATACTAATATAGAGCACAGCACAGCAACAATTTCAAACCTCAGTGTCATCAGAATTTAGCAAGGTTGTTTCATCACTTACAGAGTCACAGTTTTCAATTTTAACACTAGAACCGCGGCAGGGGTCAATTTGACCCTTTTCGATTTTCAGTTTCTCATTTCTATATTTAATTTTTTTCCCGTGAAAGATGATGTCAAATATATCGACACGAAATCCTGAAGCTCTGCGACTATTATTGTGGAAGTTATGCAACCCTGCCGCGTTGAAACTGCTGTTTTGTTTTATCCAGATAACTAACCGAGGTTTTCAAAATAAGCGACATATTTGGCCTCCCAAAATCTCAACAAAAAAATTTTTTTGAGAAATTTTTCGGGTGGGGTCTGTTTGGGCCTGTGCCCTGACCACATCCTGAAGATACCAGAGCTCCCACTGCAGAATTCTCGAAAATGTATGTAACACCCGTGTAAAATCGGTTGTACGGAAGTTACACAGCTGCCCTCCCCCGCGCATCGTGCCATTGGCCTGCCGGGCAGCCTCCGGCGCAAGGCGCTGTGCGGCCTCCGCTGAGACTGCTCCGGGCGGACTTGTGGCGGAAAGCGCGGCAGGCAGTTTTTAGGGGGAAAAAATTTAATTAAATTGGTTAACTTTTTTTTGTCCCTCGCGTTGTCGCCCTGCCGCCTTGGCTCTGGACCCTCGCTTTGACTCATTCGGCCTAGGACCCTCGCTTTGACTCTCTCGGCCTAGGACCCTCGCTTGGGTCCCTGACCGATGTCGTCACAACACATGTAAGGCTGTCATCATGGTGGGTTGGGTTACTACTAGCCGCGAGACCCGCATGTTGCTGGCAATGCCATTTTTAGTAAAGACAAAAAGTCTGCTTAGCTATATGAAAATTCTCCCATCTCACTTTTCTCTAAAGTAGTTGTTATAGTAATGTAGTTTTGCATCTGTACTCGACTTTTATGACAAAGGTAGCAATTCTTCATGTTATGTTTGATCACCATATTGTTCACTGCGACTCACCCAGCCAGTTACGCTTCTTCTCTGTAACACATAGAGTAGGTCTACTTTTGTACCATTGAAGTCTGCTTTCACGTCTAAAGGGTCTGGATATAGATCTATACCAAGTTTAGACGTTCTCTGGACGAAGCATTTCTGGCTGCGCATGTCACATTATTATATCTAGGAACTTGCAAAATTGTAGGAGTTGATGTCGACTACCTGGTCCAATTACAATCAACAAAAGAAAAAGGATGGACGGCTTTCATTGGTTTATTTTTTGTCGACCCAGGCAAGGCCAAACAACTAAGGAATCAAAGAAACAACAGAATCATAAATTACATCACATACAAATCAACAGACGTACAACTAGTTCACACAATCCTTTTGAAAAGGAATTAAAAATAAAGTAGAACTATTATTGCACATGAGATACCAAGATACCAAGGCCTAACAGGACATAAACAAGTATCCAGTGAGGCATATGAAAAGCAAACAAGACTAAGCAATAATCAAGGAAACAATAGATAACAAGATTTATATTTTTTACTGAGATAACCAACTTTCAAGAGGCATTAATAGAGTTGTTCCTACAACATATGCAAATCAACAGATGCAACTGGTTCATACACAGTTCTTTGGGAAAGGGTTTAAAAGTCAAGAAACAAAGTGTAACTACCATCCACATGAGAGATCAAGATACTGAGCCTACACAACAGGACATAGATGAATAATTGAGACATGACAAGCAACAAACCTGTAGCATGGAATCAAAAGAAACAACATAGATTCACACATATTCTGAACCACTATAACCAATTTTCATAAAAGTTTGTTACTACAACAGGCAAATTAACAGGCTACGCCTTCGTAAAAGAATTAAAAATAAACAAGTAGAACTGCTATTGCAATGAGATCAAGATATACGCAAGCAGTAACAGGACAAATACATGAGCACTTATATTCAGGTAAATCACGAGCAAACAAACAAACAAAGGAATCAAAGAAACAATAGATATATTTAAGTATTACCTCAGGACAAATTTTCAAGAGGGATTATTATGTCAGAGCTTTTGCTACAACATATACATACAATATACATATACAAATCAACAGACAGCAACAACCCTTTTGTAAAGGAATCAAAAATAAAGAAAAAAGTAGAACTATTTTTGCACTAGATATCAAGATACCAAAGCCTAACAGGGGCATAAAAGTTCTTACTAAGAAATATGACAAGCAACAAAACTAAGCAATAATCAAAGAAACAATAGAACCACTGTTTTTTGTTGTTTTTTTTTTTGTTTTTTATTTACTGAGAACCAACTAAAGTTTACACACAGTTCTTTTGGAAAGGATTTAAAAATCAAGAAACAAGCGTAACTACCACATTGCACAAATGAGATCAAGATACCAAGCCTACACAACAGGACATAGATAAATATACTTATTGAGAATGACAAGTAATAAAAGTTATACAGACCAGATACATATATCACAAGCAAAACAAACTAAGGAATCAAAGAAACAATAGAATTGTAAATAGCTACTCTGAACTGAGAACAATCTTCAAGAGGGGTGATAACTGAGATTATTCCTATACAATAGGAAAACCGACAGATATGCACCCCACAACTCACAAGATCATTTTGTGAATCAAAATGGCGCTTCACAGACCAAGCCTTTACAAGTGGAAATACATCACGTAACAGAAGAGCAACAGCACTTAAAAATTTTCTCTCAGATGGAGATAGAAGGCTTTCTTGACTGCTGAGTGGATTGTAATACCACATGGAGCAAGTTGCAACTTCTACGGCAATAATGACCCAGTGATTTTCGTCAAGATTGCCTGGGAATAAAATAACCCTTTTCGATGAAAGTTTCAAAGAGAAATTCTTGAAGTTGTTTTTTCCACTACACAACCTCACGGTTATTGTTGTATCACAGGCAAACATATCAACATTCTCAGCACATAACAATTTGAGGTAAACATTTATAACTTCATCATAAAGATAACCGTGAACAAATTTTGGATCAGCTCGCAGGAGGGTTGGCAATTCTGTTGAATCAATATTTGGGTGTAGAGCCTTTAAATGTAGAGAAGAAATTTTAATACCTTCATATTCTAAAACAATATCAATAACAAGAGGTGTATCATCTTTGGTGGGTTCATCACTAGTTTGCTCATTACTCAATTGTGGC